TCAAGGCTTTAAAGAGAAAACGAAATAACCACCTCTCTATCATTCAGGTTGGGCTAGGATCCGGCATATATCACTCATCGGGTTGGCAGTTGAAAAATATGTGCGAAATCCACAAAATACTGAAAAGTGAGATTATACCAAAATTGAGAATCCAAAATATAAAATTACATTAATTTTTGATTGAATCACATGTCCTATGTACCCAAAATACAGAAATTCGGGTGGTATCGTTATAGCTAAATTACAGCCAATTCGGCTGAAAACATACCCAATATCCCTAAAATACTGAATAAAAAGTGGAACAATATTTATAATTTTTAATAGGAACATTGGGCTGAAAAATGTCCCCAAAAGCATCAAAATACCGAATGGTGCGGGGTATCGTTACATGGTTGCTACCACAAAATGTAGATCAATGTTAATTTTTATGATTTTTAGTAGGAACTTTGAAAGCTTCATAATACCGTGTAATGGGGGTACCGTTATATGGGGGTTGCGCGAAACATGGGTCAATATTGGTAATTTTTGGTAAGGGATTTTCCCTCAATGAGAATCTAAATATCCAATTATAGCCAATTAGATTGGTAAACATTACCATAACTCAATATTGTAGTGTATGGGTCACCTTAAAAAAGGACCGATATACCCCCATTTGTAATACCGAACCTCTATCTTAAATATTGCGATCTCTATCGAGATTTCAACAGGCAGGCCGATAGACATCGCGATATCGATATAGAATTGTATTCTGATCAATTCAATAGGGTCTACGACGAATCTTTCGAGGTTTTGCAAACGGAATGAAATGTACAATCTACCTCATGATGGAGGATATAAATAACAATGGGCAGGCATTTGTATGAGGGTAGGATTTTTTTACCTATTTATTTTTTTAACAGTCACTCTATTTTTATAAATACCGTGTGATATTTTGTGTTGAAGCAGCCACCCGGACCTTGTTTGTAATCCACCTTGAAAACATCAGATTTTAGGTATATTGAAATATTTGGCTACGTTTACTTAACGGAACGTGTATGTTTTGATATTTCCGGATATTTAAATAATTTTGAAGAACCAAATGTCATTTACAAGAACATATGTAGGCACTAAATGACTCTTGTAGTTGTAACTAGCTTTTATGGCCATGTAAAAATACCTTTCGGTACAGGAATTCTGGAATTTTTAGTATAATATACATATTTGTATACTCGCAAACAAATATCAGATTCGTTACACTCTAATGAAGGGAGAAACCCCCAACAAAATAAAATTTTGCATAGTCTAGTAATAGTGGCTGACTATTATGACGATAACAAAAAACTAAACACTTCCCCACCGGTATCACTAGATCAGCAGCAACAACAACACTAGTCATAACAATGTTATCAGTGGCATTGTTGTTGTTATTGCCGCTAGTATTTGAGTCATCGTCATCATTTTGCCATTTCTTGTAACAATAAAACAAAACGATCGCTCTATGTGCCCTTAACCGAAAATATCAGAAGAAACGAAAATGAAATTTGAAGTTCGTAGAAAAAACACTTTGAAGTATAACTTTTCGCTAATGTGAGGTGACTAACACCTACACGATTTACTTTTCTAACCTTCTACGCGACAGCTTGCCATTCCGCCTCTTTAGCTCAGTGGTAGAGCACTGGTCTCGTAAACCAGGGGTCGTGAGTTCAATCCTCACAGGAGGCAGAACATGAACAAATGTTTTTATGGAATTTTTAATTGTTTAAATAAGAATCAGGGAGATATAATAATACTCGATACTCGTATTCTTTAGAACTTGAATAATTTGATGATACTACAGGTGTTTTAGGGCATATTCGATTTATAATGGCATGTTTAATGGGACTTTTCTAAGTCTTTTCTTTTCCCCACAGATTGGGGGATCGTGCGGGAACGATATTTTTGGTTTTAAAAACATGGAGCCACATTGAACTTATTCTGCTGAGAGTTTTTTATCTTTTGAGAATTCAAAATGCCGGAACATGCCATATTAAAATTGCGATACCCTCCACCACAGGTTTAGTGATAGTTACTTGAAATGAAAATATGAGGAAAATACCAATAAGTATAACTATACCAAGCGATTTTTGTAAACCAAATAAAAATTTCAACAATTTTTATTGGAGATTTTGCCTAAAATCGCAAAAACCCAAAATGTATACCGATTTTGACGACGTATGTGTATAAAATCCCCAAAATACGAAAATGTCAATATGAAAATTGTCATTGATGGAAAAAACTTGTATGCGTACGTCCCTGTACTTAAAGCGGGGTCAATATTCGTGCAGGAATTACCTAGTATTTGGAGTTATCATTATATGATAATTGCCTAATTGAGGACCGATATAACTCAATTTCGAACCAAAAATTTTTGCATCACAGTACCATGCTAATTAAAAAAAAAAACAAGTGAAAAAAGCGTTAAGTTCGGCCGGGCCGAACTTTGGATAACCTCCACCATAGGTATACTGACAGATACTTGCAATGAAAATATAGGGAACATACCAAATTGTGGGCATATACCGATAATTATACAAACCGATTTATGTAAACCATTATGTACACCAAATACAAATTTCAGCAATTTAATGGGGATTTTTCCTAAAATCTGCAAGTTCCAAAACGTGGACTGATATTGATAACGCATGGTAGAGTATAAAAGCCTTAAAATACTGTAATTTAGATTGCAAAGTTATATGAGGCTATGCCTAAAGGGGGACCAATATTAATTACATAATTTAGGAAGTAGCGAATATTTGGGGATATCATTATATGAAGGCTATGCTTAATTAATGACCGGTATTTGTCAATTTTGAACCCAATATTTTAATTTTTAATGTCAATTCTTTCCTACAGGATTTATCACTATATGGAGGAGATGCCTCAATGCCTGCCGATATATTTCATTATTGTCAGGTTTGAGTTTTTTATCACGATATCTTTAGAAGGCTGAATGATTACAACAGATTGCTATATCATTTTTGTAGGGTAACAACTGACTATTCTCAGCAACGACTACCCCCCATATTATGGCAGAATAGAATGGGGGACAACCCCAACTACGGAATAAATTAGATAACTATTTTAATATAAAAAAGGGGGTTATATGGGGACTACACCTAAAAGGGGGGGGGGCTACACCTCAAAATACCGAAAATTGGGGGTACACTTATATGCGGACTACCAGTAAAAATTTACCTATATTTATAATTTTTAGTGGAGAGATTTGCTATCCAATAAGAACTAAAAGTGGCAAATTTCAGCGAATTCGATTGAACCCCAAAATACCAAAAGAACCCCAAAATACCAAAAATGGGGAGTAACGTTATATGGGGGCTACCCGAAAAAATTGACCTATATTTATAATTTTTTGTGGAGAAATTTGCTACTCAATAAGAACTTTAAAGTACTACATCTAATTCGGGCATAAAATGTGGATAAACCCCTCAAAAACTGAAAATTGGGATGTACCGTTATATGAGGGCTACCAGAAAAAGTGGACCTATATTTATAATTTTTAGTGGAGAAATTTGGTATCAAATAAGAACCCATTGTACCAAATTTCAGCGAATTAGGTTGAAAAATGCGTTCACGAACCCCAAAATACCGTAAATTGGGAGGTACCCTTATGTGGGAGATATGCCTAAACGTAGACCGATACAGCCCATCTTCGAACTTGACTTTAGACGCTAGAGTGATTACAACAGACAGACGGACATCGTCATAGAATTTTACGCTGATCAAGAATATATATACTTTATAGGGTCTGAAATGATAATTTCGATGTGTTACAAACGGAAAAACGAAATTAATATACCTTCCCTACTATGGAGGGTATATTAATCACCGTAGGTATCACTATATGGGGTCTAGGCCTAAAAACTGGCCGATATAGTTCATCCTCGAACCTGAAGTTCTAGTTTTTATCTCGATATTCTCCACCATATGATGGAGGGTATAAGAATACTGTGACCTCGAATGAAATGAGTCTACGGGCCCCTCGAAAATTGTGAGTAGGTTTTTTTATTGTTCGAAAACATTGTAATGTCGAAATATACCAAAACATAGATCTATACTGAAAAATTTTCTGTGAGGTGACATTTCCTCCTCTGAAAATCCGTGAGGTCAAATTACAGATTCTCCGCTTGGAAAGGATTTTATTCACCAGGAACTTGAAATTTCAATTTACAGATAAGTCGGTGGGGAAATGTGGCAACAACTTTTAAAATATTGAAAATGGGGCCGGACCATTATATATGAGACGGAATGTGTTGTTTCAAGATATTGAAAACGAAGCGGATATATAATGGACCGGCCTGATTTTCTTTCAGTATGTGAAAACATGATCAATATCAAAAACATCCTGCAACTGTGGTTCTTACCCTCCAAGAGACCGTATTGCCTAATTACAAACACTTCGGTGGTGCACTTCCCCACCACCTCTATAACCTTCAAATTACAAACTCTTCGGATGAATATTGGAACAAGAAACTTCAAAACATTTGGAACTTTTTTTTTTAATTTTGACATCTATGCGGAGGTTCACACCTATAGTTACCCTAAATGTAGGGTTAATATTAAGGTCTATCATGACTCAATATTCGCTTTAAATTATGTTTTAATCAAAGAGTTGGTCATCAGTTGCTAGGTACCACCTTCGGGTTTTATGTAGGTCCGCGCACTCAATAGACCAAATTGCATATTCATATGCATATTCGGACTTGATCAATGTTTGGTACAAATAATGCCATGTGCATGCTTTGGATTAAATCGTTAACTCCCTTCGAAAATACGCCGCATCTAGATATGTAGACAGACGGACATTTCTAAATCGGCTCCCAATTGTCTGAAATGATTATGGTTCAAGAAACGATATTTCGATGAGACATATTTTTGTCGTAGTAGGGTGTATATTCGGTCGTTAGCCATGAAACAGATGGTATACAAATATATTTTCTTTTAAAAACTAAAATCTTTAAACTTACCTTCCTTGTTGCCTTGACCAATCGCGTACAGGCCCTCATGTGCCGCTTATAACAGTACGGATGACAATAGCCCTTGTGTTGACAATAGAAATTATAGCTACTAATCAAATCGATGACAGCCTTTAGCCATGGCATATTCTTCGCTGTTTCATCTGTCTCATTTGAATCGGTTGGTGATTCCGGTTGCTGATCATCACTTAATATGCCCGGTGAACCATGATCATCCTCTCCGCCGCTGGCAATACCCTGTTCTGAGGTATCACTGCGATCAGATAGGGAGGATACTTTACGTTTGGCCTGAATCGAATCGACACGCTTGACTGTAAGAACAAAACATGTATTTTTATAAAATTTGGTTTTCTGTGATGTCAAGAGGTCATACGTACAATCTGTTTCCATATCTTTGCCATCCTTGGTGTTGCGTCGTAGTTTTAGTGAGCGGCGTTTAAATGATCCACCAGTTGTGGTGGTGGTACCACGCCGTAACAGGAAGGGTCTCACTGCAGAGGCTGGTGGGCGTCGAGCTGGGAAATATGCGAAAGTAGATATAGACGGGAATTTTTATATATTTTAATAGGGTTCGGACTTCAAGGTCTAATATAGGCGTGGATTTTTTAAAGCATATTTTTTCAAATGCCAAAATAGGCGTGGATTTTTTTTAAAGAATATTTTTCAAGGGCCAAAATAGGCGTGGATTTTTTAAAGAATATTTTTTCAAGGGCCAAATTAGGCTGTAATTTTAAAAAATATTTTTCAAGTGCTAAAATAGGAGTGGATTTTTTTAAAGAATATTTTTTAAGGGCTAAAATAGGCGTGGATTTTTTTAAAGAATATTTTTTCAAGTGCCAAAATAGGCGTGGATTTTTTAAAGAATATTTTTTCAAGTGCCAAAATAGGCGTAGATTTTTAAAATATTTTTTAAGGACCTATAGAGGCGTAGATTTTTAAAATATTTTTTAAGGGCCTATAGAGGCGTAGGTTTTTAAAATATTTTTTAAGGACCTATAGAGGCGTAGATTTTTAAAATTTTTTTAAGGACCTATAGAGGCATAGATTTTTAAAATATTTTCTAAAAGACCTGTAGAGGCGTGGAGTTTTTAAAGAGGATCTTTAAAAGCATGTTTTTTTTAAAGAGTAGAGATGAATTTTAAAATCCTTTTAGCTCTGTTTTTTAATCCTCACCTTCCTCTCCCTCCTTGGTCAACGTTGTGTTACTGCTATTCTCCGATTCATTATCCGGTTCATGGAGTACAAATGATATTTTCCTTTCTGTCTGGCCACCCGCTGCATCATTGCCGGCCGCAATCGATTGTAGACTCTGTGCCGATGTCTGCGAATGACCCATAGAACTTAAAGCCATTGACCAACGACGATTTGCTTCACGGTATACCTTTTCCCAGGGTGCTGGTTTATCTTTGTGCAGCAATTTCGATGCCTTCGGCAGCGTAACATAAATATCCCGCAGAAAGGCGGTGATTTCAAAGAGCAACACGCAGGCGATCAACTTCAAGGCGTGCGGACAATCATTGCCATGCGGATTGACGGAGGCCTCATCTAGGAAATCCTCTTCTTCGTCTTGTTGCAAAAGTTCGCGCTGTTTTTCGGGATCCGTAAGGCTGGCATTGACATTCTCATACTGCAGGCGTTCGGTGAAGAGTATTTCTTCCAAACGGGCGCCCAACATTTCAGCCCACTAAAGAAATATAACAAAAATAAAATTTGGAGGATCGGTATCGTCCGATAATTGTGGAATCTACCTGATGGAACATTTTCCCGGCAGCTCTCTGCAGAATATGGGTGCGCCGAGAACTTGTGGTACCCATTTGTTGTTTTATTTGACTGGCATTGATATTGGCTCCGGAGGGCCTATACCCAGCCACATTTTGTTTCATCCAGGTGGGCCATTGACCCTTGTTGCACAGATGCACAAAATGGGCACATTCCAATAGGAAGGTGGCTCGGGTAACCAATGGCGCTTGGGGCTAAAAAGGCAACAATTAGAAAATGCTTCTAGGAGATATATTTACACCCTACCAAATCCAAAACCGCCGCCACCAACTGAGGATCCGGAAATGAGCCGGGAGCACAGGTTTCCAATAGAAACGACAGCCGTAACATACCAATTCTAACCGGTTCCAATGGTATTAGCTTACGTTCCTTCAGTACCACAACTTCCGATTCTCTGGGACCATCACACATATCCGATGAACTACGTCTACTATAATCCGCCGTCTCTTCAATGCCACCCTGTTTCTTTTTACCCTTAACAATGCCACCGAAACGATTTAGCCGACGTTCAACTCTTCTCTTGGCTCTCTGTATGGAACGGCCAATGCCATCACTAGACCTTCCCCGTTGAATTTTCAACGAGGGATGTCTAACAAATGTCGTTGACATTTCAGGATTCAGGGAACCGATTTCTAAATCAATGGATGAAGCTTCTTTTGGGGTACCCTTGAACCAACGTACCAAACCACTCAAGCGTCCAAGAGAATTTCTCTCCGAACTTGAGGTTGAGTCTGAGAGTAGTTGTCGTTCACTATGGCGTGGTGTTAGGGTGGGTCGTATACCAGTCGTGCGTCGTCGGAAGTTGCTCAACGGCGATTGACTGGTTTTGTAGTGTTCGTCACAGGGTTCAGTTTCGAGAAGGCTCTGTGGGAGAGAAGAGGAAAATGAAGATAATAGAAACGTTTTCTCTAGGTATTTCTAAGAGAGAGAGAGACTTACCACGGCACAAGCGGATGAGGTGCTTCTCTTTTTCAGTAAGAGACGCCTCTGAGAGCGGTTGTCATCGTTTTGGACACTTTGGGCAACCTCTGCCTGGGGTATGTGCCTGGAAAAAGCAGGGATTGGTATAAGTTAATGGGTTCGGTTAATTAAATGTTATCCGGCTAAGTTTAGGCAAATGTTATACAGATAACATTTCCTATACGGAAATTTTATCGTGATAGGGTTTCCGTATAGTAAATTTTATCAGGATAAAATTTCCGCATAAAAAAGTTATACGGATAGGGTTTCCGTATAGGAAATGTTATCCGGATAATGTTTCCATATAGAAAAATGTTGTCCGGATAAGGTTTCCGTATAGGAAATATTATCCGGATAAGGTTTCCGTATAGGAAATATTATCCGGATAAGGTTTCCGTATAGGAAATATTATCCGGATAAGGTTTCCGTATAGGAAATATTATCCGGATAAGGTTTCCGTATAGGAAATATTATCCGGATAAGGTTTCCGTATAGGAAATATTATCCGGATAAGGTTTCGTATAGGAAATATTATCCGGATAAGGTTTCCGTATAGGAAATATTATCCGGATAAGGTTTCCCTATAGGAAATATTATCCGGATAAGGTTTCCGTATAGGAAATATTATCCGGATAAGGTTACCGTATAGGAAATGTTACCCGGATAAGGTTTCCGTATAGGAAATGTTATCCGGATAAGGTTTCCGTATAGGAAATGTTATCCGGATAGGGTTTCCCTATAGGAAATGTTATCCGGATAAGATTTCCGTGTAGGAAATGTTATCCGGATAAGGTTTCCGTGTAGGAAATGTTATCCGGATAAGGTTTCCGTATAGGAAATGTTATCCGGATAAGGTTTCCGTATAGGAAATGTTATCCGGATAAGGTTTCCGTATAGGAAATGTTATCCGGATAAGGTTTCCGTATAGGAAATGTTATCCGGATAAGGTTTCCGTATAGGAAATGTTATCCGGATAAGGTTTCCGTATAGGAAATGTTATCCGGATAAGGTTTCCGTATAGGAAATGTTATCCGGATAAGGTTTCCGTATAGGAAATGTTATCCGGATAAGGTTTCCGTATAGGAAATGTTATCCGGATAACGGCTTCTTCATGAAAATATTTAACCGAATTGAACTCACCTTATAACTCTGGTAGTCTGCGATACAGGCCCCTTCTTGTGTGGCCTTGGCGTTACCGCCAATATACCACTAAGGGCCACCAAACGGAATGGTCCACCATGGGCTCCCTTGACATAGGTTATAAACTGGCGAACATCACTATAGAGACTGGTATTTTCCACCGACTTCAACTCTTTCGAGGCATTTACAAATCGTGTTACCAATGGTTTAAAAACTGCAGCAATAACTTGAGCCTCCGGGCCACCACTTAAGCCGCCACTGAAATTTGTCGAATATCCGCCTTGACCGCCTGATGAGGATACACCATTGCCAAGATCGGTGTTAAGATTTTTAAAGGCACTCGTGCGTTTATGAGCTATTTTGGTGTGTTCGATATTCGATATTTTTGTTGTTGTTGTTGGTGTTTTGATGTTATTTTGTACAGTAATGTGTGTGGGTGTGTGTGAGTGCGTGTTTTTTAGTTACAGACAGTTGTTGCATAGCGTTATATTGAAAGAAATATAAGATATATAGAAGAAAGAGACAGATAGACAGAAAGAAAGAGAGAGAAAGAAAGTGTGTGTTTGTGTGGGTGTTATCAAAACAAACAAACAAATAGATGCGTTATCGGACGGTGTTGTTGTAAGAGATAGAGAGCGAGAGACAAGGATGGATGGGAGATTTTTAAAGGGGGGAACAAAACGATTAACGAAATTAATTTTAAGGCATTTTTTTATTAAAAGCTATTATATGCTACAAGTAAAAGAAGCCAATAATCTGCGGAATACATGCAATCAAAAAATTTTGTAACCGTTATCCGGATAAAACTTTCAGTAGAAAATAAATCCAATATTTTTCTTTCACAAAATTTTGATTTACTCGTAGCAAAATAAGATTTAAATTCCATGCATAATATTTAATTATTTGACTATGTTTAATTTAATTTCGAAAATTTATCCAAAAAAGCATTTGCCAAGCAACTGAAAGCTCAATTAAAGCAATTTTATCAAAACATGCAATAATTTTTATTTTTTGAAAATATTTTTTTGTAACAGTTTTGCTAGTGTAATGTATGAAAGTTAAGAGATTATTGGCTAGGGCAGAAACTACATACGTATTTATTTTTTTTTTTTGTTTTTGTTGCCCATTGTAATTACGCGCAGTCGAATGTATGTATGCAACTAATCTCAATGAATCACATTTGAAATTAATTCATTACTAATATCTAACGGGTTTCTTTCCGATCTAACGATTATATCGAACTTACTTAGCGGTGATAATAGGGAACTTGGATCCACACAAAATGCACAAAAAGCATGAAAAAAGTCCACCAGCTCTTGTAGACCGGAATTTTTTACCATTTCCTGGAGATACTTCTTGGTTCGTTGGCTTGCATGGCGCAGCAGACGTGAGAGGATCTTTTGACACTGACTGCGCAGAAAATCGGCAGGAGGTCCACGAACACCTGAAAGGAAAGAAAATACATCATTATTTATAATATTTCCCAAAGAGATTTCGATGCGAAAAACATTATCCGGATAACATTTCCTATACGGAAACCATATCCAGAAAACATTTTCTATAAGCAAATCGTATCCGGATAACATTCCCCATACGGAAACCCTATCCGAATAACATTTTCATATATAGAAACCCTATACGGATATCATTTCCTATACGGAAACCCTATCCGGATAACATTTCCTATACGGAAACCATATCCGGATAACATTTCTTATATGGAAACCCTATCCGGATAACATTTCCTATACGGAAACCCTATCCGGATAACATTTCCTATACGGAAACCCTATCCGGATAATATTTCCTATACGGAAACCCTACCCGGATAACATTTCATATACGGAAACCCTATCCGGATAACATTTCCTATACGGAAACCGTATCCGGATAACATTTCCTATACGGAAACCTTATCCGGATAACATTTCCTTTACGGACACCCTATACGGATAACATTTCCTATACGGAAACCCTATCCGGATAATATTTTCTATACGGAAACCCTATCCGGATAACATTTCCTATACGGAAACCCTATCCGGATAACATTTCCTATACGGAAACCCTATCCGGATAACATTTCCTATACGGAAACCCTATCCTGATAACATTTCCTATACGGAAACCCTATCCGGATAACATTTCCTATACGGAAACCCTATCCGGATAACATTTCCTATACGGGTTTCCGTATATTAAATGTTATCCAGATAGGGTTTCCGTATAGGAAATGTTATCCGGATAGGGTTTCCGTATAGGAAATGTTATCCGGATAGGGTTTCCGTATAGGAAATGTTATCCGGATAGGGTTTCCGTATAGGAAATGTTATCCGGATAACATTTCCTATACGGAAACCCTATCCGGATAACATTTCCTATACGGAAACCCTATCTGGATAACATTTAATATACGGAAACCCTATACGGATAACATTTAATATACGGACACATTTCCTATACGGAAACCCTATCCGGATAACATTTCCTATACGGAAACCCTATCCGTATAACATTTCCTATACGGAAACCCTATCCGTATAACATTTCCTATACGGAAACCCTATCCGGATAACATTTCCTATACGGAAACCCTATCCGGATAACATTTCCTATACGGAAACCCTATCCGGATAACATTTCCTATACGGAAACCATATCCGGATAACATTTCCTATACGGAAACCCTATCTGGATAATATTTTGTATACGGAAACCCTATCTGGATAATATTTCGTTTACGGAAACCCTATCCGGATAATATTTCATATACTGAAACCTTATCCGGGTAACATTTCCTATACGGAAACCCTATCCGGATAACATTTCCTATACGGAAACCCTATCCGGATAACATTTCCTATACGGAAACCCTATCCGGATAACATTTCCTATACGGAAACCCTATCCGGAAAACATTTCCTATACGGAAACCATATCCGGATAACATTTCCTATACGGAAACCTTATCCGGACAACATTTCCCATACAAAAACCTCCGTTATCCCAATAATATTTTCTCTTTGATCCACTTACCATCATTACAGCCATTCGGGCAGCCCAGAACTTGCAGGGCTCTCCTGATGATTCCCATAGATATTTCATGGGCATGTTCACCCAATTTGAGGACACCCATTTCCAATAGGAGTTCACATATATTAAGACCAGATTCCAGTACCCTCAACGATACTACGGTCAAATCGCGTTTAAAGACATTCAATACTGCCAGTAAAACAATTTCATAGTCAATGCCTCCATCACGGGTAATATAGAACGATGAACCCGGTGCCTCCGATTCATCCACCCCGGTATAATCAATATGAGAATCGGTATTAGAACGTAACATATGGCCACGAAAACGGGAACCAACATTACTGGTAGACAACCCAGCCATGCTTCCATTGTAACCATTGGCCCCTTGCATACCGCCACCAATGCTACCACCACTGCTCATGGCATCCAATTGGGAGTCAATGGAGCCCTGCAGGAAAAAAATGGGATTTTAAATTAAGGTCATAAAAATTATGGTATTATGATTGCTTTCCTACCTGTCTCTTCATATAATCCGGTGATGGTGTTGGTGTATGTTCCGTCACCGTGATAATGGGATTTCGTGGATAAAATGTCGTCCTCTGACCCGATGATTGTGAAGATCTCATAACTTTGGGCGGTTCAACATATCTGTAAAATCTTCAATATTTCAATATTCCATTGTGGGGGGAATATATGAATCGACAAAAAAAAAACAAACCGAACATTAGTTAACAAAGATGACATGATGGTGCAGGATGAGTTTTCAATATTATTGTTGTAAATACTGTAAGAAAAAAGCTCATATATACAAAATATATTTTTTTGTTTAATTTTAAGTAGCGCAGCAACAAAGCTCTACTTGGAACGAAACTCGTTAAACAATTACTTGGATTCGGGTGGGTGTTTTGAGGGGAATTATAAAGGGGATATTTTTAGTCATAAAGTGGTGCAACAAACATGAGAAGCAAGAAATATGCATAAAACACAATTTGAACTCAATAACAGTTTAATAGAATAATGTAGTTGTTGTTTTTTTTTTTAATTTTAATTTTAATAGAAAGGGACAAAATCGGTTGGTGTTTCTCTAACTCGAACTCTAGTAGCCGATTTTCACTATCCTCCCTATATATACATTTTTTATCATTAAAGAAATTTTGCAATGAGTGAAAAATATGATGATGGCTTGGTGACAGTCCCTCGAACTGAAACCCCATAAATTGATTTCACTCCATATAGTTCCGGCTTCTAAATAGTTCATTCGAATCTCTCGTTCATCTGTCTTCGGCCTTTTTGTTAACATTATAGCATTCGATAGTTTGTTCTTTTTTTCCTCTCACAGAGCAGAAAATAGTACCTTAATTTCATATAGATCTATCTCCTAGGTAGTTCAACTGAATCTCTCTCTTTATTTTTTGGTTTTTTGTTCACATATTTCCGGGTTTATGAAAAAGGGTTTCGAAAGGAATGTTGACTCAATAGTAGAGTTGGGCAAAAAAATATTATGGAGCAGATCGATCTTTTCTAGAAAGGTACTACTTTCTTATTTAGATCGACCTCCTAAATAGTTTTATAGCATTTTATCCTTGGCTCAACAATCTAGTTCACGGAGATAATTTTGTCTCGATTTTTTTCGTAAAGGTACTAGATCCTTCGCTTCAAAATTGTCAGGCTTTTAGATAGTTCATTAGAATCTCTCGCTTTCATTTCATTTTGTTTTGTCGTTCACATACACATAGTTCCGAGTTGATTCGATGTTGCTTAAAAAGGGAAGGAATATTACCCCAAGTGTAGTGTTGGGCTATCCTTATAAAAACTTCGACTTGTTTACCTTTCCTTTCGAGTTAGAGAAACGCTTTTATTTTTCCATAATTTACCGTTCTTGTCTCAACTTTTTGTTTTTGTTGCCAATTAAGTGAAATGGTATACCATGAAATGATGTTATGGTGCTGATGTTGTAATTGTAAATTTGATAATTTTTTGCTTGCAACATAATAAAATTGTGTGTTTTTTCTTTATTTTTAACATGATTTTCATTTTTGGTAAACAGCACAACTCACCCGCTATCGAGAAGACAGCTGGTTTTTTTATTGTAATGAAATAATCGGATAGGATACAAATAAAAGAAAAATGTGAAAGAAATGGAAAGCTTAGCTTTAGCAAAGGAAAGCATTTGATTTGTTTTGAGTTTTTAGAGAAATAAATTTGTGCAGAATTTTGTGCAGATAGTGAGGTTGGATTTTAATGTGGTGTGGATTCTTCATTTTTCTTAGGATGTCATGTAATAAAATGTATAATCCCTGACGCTAGACTCTAAGGTTTAGAAAAGTTCTTACAATTGGGTCCAATTTTTTCTATAGAAAAAAATAACCACCATAGGGTCCACATTTTTCTATAGAAACAATATTTTTCTACAGACCAAAAGTCCTTTTTTTTCTATAGAAAAAGTTTATTTTTTATTTGTTTCTATCGAAAAAAAATCACTTAAGTCTTATTTTTCTATATAAAAAATTGTAGACCCTTGGGTCTTATTTTTTTCTGTAGAAAAAAATCGCAGACCCTTGGTTCCAATTTTTTTCTATAGAAAAAAATGTTATTTCCAAGTTTTTATTATAAAAAAAAATTCACAGACCCAAGGGTCTCAGTTTTTTCTATAAAAAAAATTCACAGACCCTTGGGTCTTAGTTTTTTCTATAGAAAAAATTCACAGACCCTTGAGTCTTTGTTTTTTTCTATAGAAAAAAATTCACAGACCTCTGGGTCTTAGTTTTTTTCTATAGAAAAAAATTCACCGACCCTTGGGTCTTAGTTTTTTTCTATAGAAAAAAATTCACAGACCCTTGGATCTTAGTTTTTTTCTAAAGAAAAAAATTCACAGACCCTTGGGTCTTAGCTTTTTTCTAAAGAAAAAAAATCACAGACCCAATGGTTTGTAAATTGTTTCTATAGAAAAAAATCAATCTTATGTTTTTTCTATAGAAAAAAAATTACAAACCCGTTTTTTTTCTTTAGAAAAAAATCACGGACCCTAGAGTCTTAGTTTTTTTATAGAAAAAAAAATCACAGACCCTTGGGTCTTAGTTTTTTTCTATAGAAAAAGTTTGGATCACAAATTTTTCTTTAGAAAAAAATTCGCAGACATTTGGGTCCAAGTCTTTTCTATAGAAAAAATTCACAGAGTCTTGTGACTGAATTTTTTCTATAGATTAAAATTGGGTCGAAGTTTTTCCTATAGAAAAAAATTCTCAGACCTTTGGGTCGTAGTTTTATCTATAGAAAAATACTCACATAACCTTGGGTCCAACCTTTTTCCGAAGAAAAATAATCGCAAACCCTTGGGTCTTAGTTTTTTCTATAGAGAAAAATTCACAGACCCTTGGGACTTTTCTATAGAAAAAATGTATAGTCCCTTGGGTGTTAGGGTTTTTTCTATAAAAAACACAGACCATAGGTTTTAGGTTTTTTTCTATAGAAAAACATTCGAAGAATCATAGATCCCAGTTTTGTCTATATAATCTATCGGGCTTAAATTGAGACCTGTTCTTACTTGGATCATATAGAGTGTTTGTTTGTTCTGTTAAGATTTTCATAGGTATTCCAACTTCTAAGTGTACCACATCAATTCTGGGGAAATTGTTGTTCTATAATTTTAGTAATTCTTACCTTAAACTAGGCATTGATTTGCCCTTGATCAAATTACTAGCCGGTTCTCTGGAAATCATTGATGCCGAACGTGACAGCTTCTTTTCACCAGTATCCAAACTCCGGTGGTATTCCTTGGAAAAAAATAGACGATGCTATGAATATGGCGAACAACTGGGGAAAATACATTTAACATTGAAAAGGGAACACTGAACAAGAAACATATGCAACGTGGGTGAAATGCAAGTAAAATAGGTTATATATTCTGGAACAATTTTGCGTTATATAAATATTTCGAATGGGTGTAGGAAACAACATTTAGGGAATTGTGGTGGTACGGACTTAAATGCAATGCAGGGCTCAGAGGTTGTATAGTTTTTCTATAGAAATATGTTTTCAACACCCAAGGACCCAAGGTTCTGGAAAAAATTGGATCCAAGAATCTATAGAAAAAAACTTTGACCCAAGGCTCTGCGAATTTTTTTTTCCATACAAAAAAAGTTGGACCCAAGGGTATGCGATTTTTTCCATACAAAAAAAAAAAAAAAAAAATAGACCCAAGGGTCTGCGAATTTTTTTTAGGGCCCAAGGGTATGGGAATTTATTTTTATATAAAAAACTAAAACCCAAGTGTCTGTGGATTTTTTATAGAAAAATCATGGACCCAATGGTCTGTGATTTTTTTCTACACCAAAAACTTGGAACAAAGGATCTGTTTGTTGTTTTCTATATAAAAACCACTACCCAATGGTCTACGAATATTTTCCCTATAGAAAAACTTTGAACCCCAATGGACTGCGAACTTTTTTCAATAGAAATGACTTGAACACAAAGGTCTGCGAATTTTTTCTATAGAAAAAGCTTAGACCCAAGTGTCTGTGATTTTTTTATTTTATACAAAAACTTACATCCTAGTGTCTGCGAATTGTTTTCTATAGAAAAAACTTAGGGCCAGGTTCTGAGAATTTTCTTCTATAGAAAAAATTTGGACCAAAGGTTCTGCGATTTTTTTTCTATAGAAAAAATTTGGACCCAAGGTTCTGCGAATTTTTTTCTATTGAAAAAAATTGGACCCAAGGTTCTGAGATTTTTTCCATAGAGAACAGGTATAGAAAAAGGTTTTGCGAATTTTTTTTTAATAGAAAAAAATTGGATCCAAGGTTCTGGGAATTTTTTTTCTATAGAAAAAAAATTGGATCCAAGGTTCTGGGAATTTTTTTTCTATAGAAAAAAAATTGGACCCAAGGTTCTGCGAATTTTTTTTCTATAGAAAAAATTTGGATCCAAGGTTCTGCGAATTTTTTTCTATAGACTCTGAGAATTTTTGCTGTGAGTACTACTCCGGAACTTGCATTAAGCCAGTACCAATATGAGGGATGTGGGATTGTGATGGATGTATGGTAATATGAAGTAGTAGGTGTAGCTTTAAAGGTCTCATGCCACACAAAACAGACACAGTTAAAGGGGGAATACAATTAAATGCAGGATTTGTTTTGCAATGGGGTTTGAAAGGGTTTCGTGGTTTTAAACACACAAATATTTAAACGCTTTGTTGTTGTTGCTGTTGTAATAAATATTTATCTTACTGCATGTTGCAGTGGTCTCTTGCCATTGGCTGAACCTGTATCAAGGCCTACTTTTTCCAAATTCTTTTCCGATTTCGAAAACATTTTCGTTTCGACAAATGCCCGCAGATCGGACATTTTGACACGTTTCTTTTTTTCGCTGCCACGTCGTTCCGCAGTCGGTGAGGCTTCTTCTGTAAAGGAAAGGAGATGGTGTTAGGAATATTTTTATTATTATTTTTTGTTGGAACTTACCCGCTAAGCATGCTGTGATAGATGGTTCGGGTATTTCAATATAATCTTTATTTACGGAACTTCCAGGGCTATCACGATTATTACTATTCGGTCCCTGATAGAGGGAAATTTCGATGTGTGGTATGGGCAAGGAATTGGAACGTTTTCGTGGCTGGTTTATGGAAATGGCAGCTTCTTCGCCAATTTCGCTTAGCCTGAATAAATAATAAAATAGAATAATTTATTAATAACAATCCTCTGGTCTGGGTCTGTATAGAAATCTATAGAAAAACATAGGACCCAGAGGTCTGTGAATTTTTTTTCTATTGAACAACAATGCACCCAAGTGTTTATGAATTGTTTTCTATAGAAAAAAAGAAGACCCAAGGGTCTGTGAATTTTTTTCTAGAGAAAAAAAGTAAGACTCTGTGAATTTTTTTCACAGACTCTGTGGTCTGTGAATTTTTTTCTATAGAAAAAAATAAGACCCTGTGGTCTGTGATTTTTTTTTTCTATAGAAACAATAAGACCCTGTGGTCTGTGAATTATTTTCTATAGAAAAAACAAGACCCTGTGGTCTGTGAATTTTTTTCTATAGAAAAAAATAAGACCCTGTGGTCTGTGATTTTTTTCTATAGAAAAAATAAGACCCTGTGGTCTGTGAATTTTTTTCTATAGAAAAAAATAAGACCCTGTGGTCTGTGATTTTTTTTATAGAAAAAAATAAGACCCTGTGGTCTGTGAATTTTTTTCTATAAAAAAATAAGACCCTGCGGTCTGTGAATTTTTTCTATAGAAAAAAATAAGACCCTGTGGTCTGTGAATTTTTTTCTATAGAAAAAATAAGACACCGTGGTCTGTGAATTTTTTTCTATAGAAAAAAATAAGACCCTGTGTTCTGTGAATTTTTTACTATAGAAAAAAATAAGGCCCTGTGGTCTGTGATTTTTTTTTCTATAGAAAAAATAAGACCCTGTGGCCTGTGAATTTTTTTCTATAGAAAAAGTAAGACCCTGTTGTCTGTGAATTTTTTTCTATAGGAAAAAAACTAAGACCCTGTGATCTGTGAATTTTTTTCTATAAAAAAACATTGGAACCAATGGTCTGTGATTTTTTATATAGAAAAATACTGTATCCAAGGGACTGTGAATTTTATTCTATAGAAAAACATTGTACCCAAGGGTATGTGAATTTTTTTCTATAGAAAAACATTGGATCCAAGTCTCTATGATTCTTTTACGGTAAAAACATTTCCTCCTTAAAGGGTTCTCACACTCACCTATTATACAAATACTGAAGACTCCAAAAGATACCCTCCTCCTGCCAATGTGATATGAACAAGCAACGCATAACTCCCACATCCAAAAATGTTGCCGCCGACACATCAGCATTTATACTTTCCGATTTATCCGATTCCGTCTCCCTTTCCACGGAGGCACTACGTTTCTCCTTCATGGAAGCTCCACGCATCAACTCCTGCTGATCGAATTCAAATTTCGTCGACGGCTTATCCTTATCCCTTGAATGTATGGACTGGCGACTGCCGCGACGACTTTGTGGTTGTTGTTGGGTCAGCAGGCTAGCATCGGCCTATCGATCGGTGTCATGTAAAACAAAAAATATTGAAAATTAGAAAACCAATTCGGATCGTAAACGATAAAGCATTTCAACAATTACAGTAAAAAACGAATTGTCCATTAAATGGGAAGCAGAAGGTAAACGAAAAATAACAACACGTTCATCTTCAACACTGGATGCTTCTTCGGGTATGGTTTCGGGGAAAAATTCCTTGGGCGATGACACCCAAGAGCTCTAAAAACATTTAATATTCCAAACAATATATGTATGTATGTGGGTGGTTATCAAAAGAAAGAAAACGAAAACGAAAAAAAAATACAAACATTCATATTGAAAAATTACACACATATATAGAAAAAGATATTTTTTGTTTTTGTTGTTGTTTTGTTTTGCATAGAACAAAGCTTTTGAGGCTTTAGCTATGGCGGAAAATGTCATTTATGCGGTACATACCTCCTCATCCTGACGCGTTGTGTGATCGGATCCCACACTTTGTGGTGAGTCGACTTTGGGAGACATGGCATCTACGCTGAGGGATTGTTTTCCTGAAAGAATATATTTTTCCATAGACAAATTTGTACCCATGTGTATCTGTGAATTTTCTTTCTATAGAAAAAAACTAAGACCCAAGGGGTCTGTGATTTTTTTTCTATAGAAAAAAACTAAGACCCAAGGGGTCTGTGATTTTTTTTTCTATAGAAAAATCTAAGACCCAAGGGGTCTGTGATTTTTTTTTTCTATAGAAAAAAAAACTAAGACCCAACGGGTCTGTGATTTTTTTTCTATAGGAATGACTAAGACCCAAGGGTCTGTGAATTTTTTTCTATAAAAAAATCACATGTCCTTGTGCCTTAATTTTTTTCTATGGAAAAAATTCACAGACACTTGGGTCCAAGATTTTTCTATAGAAGAAAAGAAAAAAAATACAGACCAAGTTTTTTTTTCTACAGAAAAAGATCACAGATCCATGGGTCTTATTTTTTTCTGAAAAAATTACAGACCCTACTAACTGAATATCTTCTATAGAAAAACGTCGATCTGTGACTTTTTTCTATAGAATAAACTTGGTTCCAAATTTCTGGGATTTTTTTACATAGGAAAAATTTTGACCCAAGGTTATGTGAGTTTTTTTTTATGGGAAAAACTTGGGTCCCAAGGTTCTGTGCATTTTTTTCTATAAAAAAACTTGGACCCATGGATCTGTGAATTTTTTTCTATAAAAAGAACATGGACCCAAAGGTCAGTGAATTTGAATTTTGGACTCAAGGTTCTGTGATATTTTTTGTCTTTACAAAAATTTAGGACCAAAGTTTCTATGAATTTATTCTATAGAAAAACTTTGAAGAAAACCCCGGTTCTGTGAATATTTTTCTATAGAAACAACTCCGACCCTAGGTTCCGTGATTTTGAATTTTCATACTTACTTCCTGTAAAAACATCTGTTGATCCTTTTGGTGTGGGAGCACACAGTAGGTTACGTGCCTTAGGCTTTACTGGAGCTGTAAAACAAGGAGCTCCCGGGGCACGATTATCCCACATGCCTTGCCATAATTTAATGCCATTTTCCAAACGGCAATTTTGGAAATCTGACTCCTTCAAGTGGTGGATAATGGGAGCAAATAAATAGACAAAAAGCTGCAAAGTAAATCAACCAAAAATTAAAAATTTCCTTCAATAAATTAACCTGCAAAAAATCGTACCGTAATTGTGGGCACCGAAAATAAATATTGTTCCATTGATTTTCCCTTTGTGTCACCATCAGTGACCATACCACCACCTCCTAGACCACCTTCATCGCCAGCACATTCCTCTGCTGCATAGAGTAAAATCCATTGCATGGCATATAACAAAGTCGTTTCAATTTGTCCTATTGCCTGCATATCCTTGACGCGATTATGTAGCAAGGCCGATACACAATGCATGACATGGGGCAGGGCAGCTTGCAGCAGACGCCATCGTGGTATGGCAGCCAGCCCATCCGTCAGAGAAGGTGATAGACCAAATTGTATATTCAGAACCACGACCTTTTCAAAGGACTAAGGAATTGAAAAATATATTTAGAAAATATTCAATATTTTGAAGTAAATAAAAACTCACCTTACACGCTCCCTTCGATTCCTATTGGTTCCAAATATTTTCAGCAAAATAATTAATAATTTTTATTAATATTAGTATTGTTATTATTTATATATAATTGCAATGTATGTGAGGGGGGAGTTTCGAGTAACTTTTTTTTTGTAACACAAATATAAGAAAACATTTAAACATCAAACATAAAATGGTATGAAAAAAGATTGAACTTTACACAAGAACATAGAAGAAAGTACGTGTAAAACATAATAAAAGATATATACAAAAGTTCAAGTTGTTCGGAGATAAGCTGTGTGACATATAATGTAACATAAATATTAAAAATTGTATTGACAAAATATCAACGAATGATATCGGTTCCATTCATCATTCCAGGTGTTGTGTATAATTCGAGAAACCCATATGCCAAAAATACAGATACGTAGGTAAATGTAAAATACTGCAAAGTCCTTAAAATACATAAAATGTGGTTAACATTTTCCACCTTGAGGTATTTTAACTGTTGAGAACTCTCAATGTCAAATTGCTGTCACTTCGTATCGGAAAGACGTAAAAGATCCTTATAATACATAAAATGAAGCGGGCATTGTTTTGAACATTTTTCGCTTATTGTATTTTACCTAAGAAAATCTGAAATGGTCATTTTGGACTAGGACTTTTAAACCAGTTAGGAAAGTAGTAAAGTAGGACGGGGCCGACTATATGATACCCTTCGCCACTATGGGTATATTAAAGAGCATAATTAACATGGAATTGGATGAAATAAAATATGTGATATTTATCTAAATGTGAATCGGACTAGATCTATCCATAAACATGTCATTCGTTTGGGATAAAAGTATGAAAATCGACTTCAAACAAATCGACTTCTAGAAAACGCAACTACGTAATTCTATGCTCAATTTTGTACGTTGTGCAAAATTTGATGTCAATCTGACAAACATGAGGAGTTTGATGTACAATTTACTTAAAATCGGACGAAAATATATATGGAAGCTATATCCAAATATGAAACGATTTCAACGAAACTTGTCACAGGTTAAGCTATACTAATTTCGGTACGTTTAGTTCCTATCAGCCATATATTGGGTTCTTGGTGCGTCAATTACTTCATATCAGCTATATCTAAATCTCAACCGATTTTTACGAAACTTGGCACACAAAATTCTGGACTAAATTCAGTACGTTATGCAACATAAGAACTTTGGCACATTATTTAAATTAAAACGGACGAAAAAATATATATCTAGATCTGAACCGATTTTCACGAAACTTGGCAGACATCGCTCTAGGCTCAATTCAATACGTCATGCCAAATTTCGTGCAAATGAGAAGATATATAGGGACTTTGGTAAACCATTTACCTTAAATCGGACGAAACTATATATGGGAGCTACATGTAAATCTGAACTGATTTTCTCGAAACTTGGCACACATCATTGTGGACCTAATTCAGTACTCTGTTCCAAATTTCATGCAAATCGAAGGATATAGAGGGACTTTGGTGCCCCATTTACCTTAAATCGGACGAAACTATACATGGGAGCTATATCTAAATCTGAACCGATTTTCTCGAAACTTGGCACACATCATTCCGGACCTAATTAGGTACGCTATGCCAAAACTTGTACAAATCGAAAGATTTTCAGGGACTTTGGTGCACCATTTACCAAAAATCGGGCGAAACTATATATGGGAGCTATATCTAAATCTGAACCGATTTTCTCAAAACTTGGCACACATCATTCTGGACACAATTTAGTACGCTATGCCAAAATTCGTGCAAATCGAAAGATTTTCAGGGTCTTTGGTGAACCATTTACCAAAAATCGGACAAAAATATATATGGGAGCTACATCTAAATCTGAACCGATTTTTCCCAATTTCAATAGGGTTCGTCCTTGGGCCAAATAAATGAGCTGTACCAAATTTCAGCCAAATCGGATTAAAAATGCGACCTGCACTTTGTTTACAATTTAACATCAACAGACAGACGGTCGGACGGACATGCATAAATCGACTTAGAAAGTTATTCTATGCATATTCTCAAAAGGAACCATGTGTCTATATCGTTTATTTTTGCCTGTTACAAACATATGCACAAAGACATAATACCCTGTACCACAGTGTGGTGAAGGGTATAAATATATAAAATGAGGAGGGACCTGCGTTAGAGCATATGTCAAAACATGGACGTTTAGTAAAATTGGGTGGGTTTCTGTCCTCGTAGAATCCGGATTATCAGGCTAGAAATAAAATGGATATATACGAGGAAAGGTTTGCGTATTAAAGTGTGTGCTTATAATTTTGGCTATGTGGGTATATATTCATTATCAAAGTAAATCCGTAAATATCCGCCTTTTCGTCTGTTTCAATCACGCTAGCCTCTAGACAAAATTTGCATGGAGTTGCAAAACCGATCCATGTTTAGGCATATTCATATAGTGATTTCCACAATTTTTGGTATTTTTCGATTTTGATCATGTTAGATATTTATATTGTAGATATTTTTTTCTTTTGAATTCAAACTATTAGCATCCGAAAAGTTCTAAAATGTACTAAATTTTGTACAATTTCGTAGCATGTAAACGGATAGAGCTAAAAACTTGAAATTTGGGATGCGAATCAAGGTTGAGAAGTAGGGTCGATATGAAGAGGTGGTTTTGGAAGTGTGTACTCATTTATACGAAATGTACTATATGGTACTATATTTAGTACAATTTCAATTTAGAGGTACGGATGGAGCTGGAACTGTGATATTTGAAATTAACATTGCCGTCGGAGTGTAAAAATAGGATATGCGCGTAGTTTTGGAAATTTTTTACTTATGTGTATGAAAAGTACAAAATCGTTCAATAATTAATATAATTTGGATTTGGGTAAATTATGGGTACTCAATGTACTAAATTTGGTACACTATGAATATTGGATGAACCGATGGGTTAAGATAATCAAGTGGATTTGGAAATTCAAACTGTAAGTATGTAAAGTGATTTAATGGGTTTCGAGGTTTGTGTAGAGTTATGGTTACGAGTTGGTTCTAGCACTTTTATTACAAATGATTTTTCAATTTTAAATCGGGTACTTTATTCACATAAAACCAGTAAGGTAAGTAGTAAAGTCGGACTGGGCCGACTATATGATACCCTTCACCACTTTGGGTATATTCTACATATGTATCCGAAAAGACGTCGCCTTTTTGAAGGAATTTTGACATGAAATTGAACAAAATTAAATATGTGATTTTTATGTATTTCTGGAACCTATGCTAAATTTCATTTCATTTGGGCAAGTTTAGAGTCGTTTGCGCACAGTGGGACAGATTTGTGTAAATCGATTTAAAGCAAACATGAGACACGCTCTTCGGTACGCTGCACTGTTTAAAATTTAATCTCAATCAGACACCTATTGATTATTTGGTGTACAATTTATATAAATAAGTCGAAATTATATATGGAAGCTACGATATATTTATATATTGAAGCAAACTTGCCAGAGATTAATTTATATTAAATTCAGAGCGTTGTGTCTATCGGCCTAGCTATGGATGTTTAGTGCAACATTAACTTAAAATCGGACGAAAATATATATAGGAGGTGTACACATCATTCTAAACTTAATTCAATACGCTATGCCAAAATTCGTGCAAATCGAATGATTTTCAGAGACTTTGGTGCACCATTTACCTAAAATCGGACGAAACTATGTATGGAAGTTATATCTAAATCTGAATCGATTTTCACGTAACTTATCACACATCATTCTAGACTTAATTTAGTGCGCTATAACCAATCAAAAGATTAGCAGGCGTTTTGGTGCACCATTTACCTAAAATCGGACGAAACCATATATAGGAGCTATATCTAAATCTGAACCGATTTTCACGAAACATAGCACACGTCATTCTAGACTTAATTCAATAGGCTATACCAAATTTCGTGCAAATCGAAAGATATATAGGGACTTTGGTAGACCATTTACCTAAAATCGGGCGAAACTATATATGGGAGCTATATCTAAATCTGAACCGATTTTCCCAATTTCAATAGGGTTCGTCGTTGGGCTAAACAAATGAGCTGTGCCAAATTTCATCCCCACGTCGGGCTAATACAGTAAATTTATAGTCGCATCGAGCTTTTCAATCAGTTCCCAGCAGTTTTTTCCTAGAACGCTAACCGATGCACCTGTATCTAATAATCCACTTATGCTGATGCCTTGGATTTCAACGTCAGCGTACAATCTGGGATCACATCCTCTATTTACTGTCATCACCGATTCTACAACTTGTCTCATTTGTTTCTTTTTGTCTTTAATTTTTTTTCGTAATTTTGATATTTTGGAGTTTTTCATATTCGGTAAGTCATTTTCTTCCATAATTCTCGGCCCACTGTGTCGGTAGTACGGTATTGAATTGTGAATATTGAATGGTGTTGGCAATTCAATATTATTCTGGTTGTCAGAACTGGTTGTCCCAACTACGAATGACAGTATGTAAACAAATGCGATAAAAATGTAATGTATTGGAAAAGGTAAGTAGAGTTCTTTTATGAAATTTGTAAATCTGATATTTTAATTGTTTCGTTATTTTATTTCAGGCGGCACATCCCAAGTGTGATCGATGACATGAATCACCGATGCTATGTGGAGGAAAATATCCGGTGTGAACGATATTTTCCATATATTGTATATTGTTGGTTCATGTCGTCCTTCACATGTGCCATTGTATGCATGCCAACATCTGGGTGTTTCCTCTTTTAAGATGCACCCCAACCTTATTATTAGGGATATATATCCCATAAAAATGATACTAACCGGGGTATGGCTAACATATGGTTACCCACAAACAGTACCCGCTAACAGATTTCAGAAACAATTAACAGGCATTAACCTGGGCATGGCTAACTTGTAGTTACCCATAAAGCGTGCCCGGTAACCCATTCGCCCT